GGGAAGGAATAGCTATCAAATATCTCCTGGAATGGTGCCATGGGTTAATGAGCTGGAATGCAAAGTCAGTTTGAACCACAAGGTTGGCAGTTCAAGTTCACTAGCTGCTCCTTGGAAACCCTATACAGGGTCACTATGGGTCGAAACCGACTCGACAGCACTAAACAAGAAGAACAACAACATCTCAGCAATATTGGGGGCAATATTGCCTAGTGGTTGTCTAGGTCAGCAATGTCCAATAAAACTAGAATGTGAAGTATGCATGCAAGTGTTTACAGTTTTTCTAGTAGCCGTAATAAAACAAATAGAAAGAAAAAGGTGAAATAAGTTTTATTGTTAAATTGCCTCTCTCAACTGTGTGAGTGTGTGTGTGTGGTGGCATGAGGATGGGGTTTGCTGGTGCAAGGGGAGGCAGCCAGGCTGAGGACTCTGTTGAGCCAAGGTGCTGCTAAGCTACTCAGTGGGACCTGCTGAATCCTTGTGGCTTAAGGGCCTCCATAAAGAACAAAGAACCCTAAGAAGAACTCCTTGGAAATACTGGGTTGGAATCTGCTGGCCATTGTGTGGGGCAGAAGAGAGTGGCAGTGAGGGCTGCCTTTGGGAAGGAGGCAGACTGTCAGAAGAACCTCTTGTTCTGTAGGCACAGGCCTAGAGAGGTGCCTCAGGGTGTGTCCACTGTGTCTCAGCAAAGGACCTCAGGCTCTTTGGTGGAGACAAGTGGCCCTGCTTATCTGGGTGACACAAACGCAGAAGGGAACATCTGAGGGCCACCTTGACTCAGGTCCATCTCTGGTGGAACTTGGTCCTGTGGCCCTTGAGACCACTGCCTCTGCTTGAAGACTCAGGATAGCACAACACTGCCACGCAAGGGGCTCTGACGCCAAGAATTACAGACTCTGGAGATTCTGTGCATCCCGCGTCCTGCGCTTCTCTCCCCAGTACACACAAGCGCGCGGGCGCGCTAGGACACACACACACACACACACACACACACACACACACACGCTCACCTCCCTCAGTCTTCTACTAGCTGCACCCACGCAAGCACAGAGCGCCCACTCACGCACCAAACACCTGCAGCCCTCAGGGAAGCGACGAGTCTGCTTCAGACTTTCTGGCTGTACGCGGCGGCGGGAAACGCTGCGCTGGGCTGAAGCGCATGGCTAGGTGCTCCGCGGGACCTCTAGCTGGTGATCCTGTGGTTTGGGCAGGGGCGGGAGGGAGCGGAGCTGCGAACTTCACACCCAGAGTCTGGGCCTGTGCTCCCCTAAGGAGTAATTTGCCCACCTCATGAATGTCCCGGGGCTCCGCGGAAAGTCAGACCGTCATTGAGTCTCCCAGATCACCCCTGTAGCTAACGAACCCCAAAGTGATGCGCCCAGGACGCATCGCCTCTGGCCCAGGCTGGGACGAGTGGGAAGACGGTGTTGCTTTTGAATAAATAACCGAAACTGGAGTTTCAGAACCTAGAGACAACAAACTTTGTTCAATAATGGAACTCTGGCCGCCGCCAATCTCCCTCAAACCCCTCTAGGACGCAGCTGCTGTTTCTCGGACCTCTTTCCCTTAGCTCTCACTTCTACTTCTTTGTTGATTTTCGAGTTCGCCCTCCATCCCTTCTCTCTGTCCTTTCCTTCTCCAAGAGTCCGCTTGTCTTGCAGAAATGCGGTGCAGCAGACTGTAAGGTGGGCTACCGCTGGACGGTGCAGGGACATTGACCCGGAGACTCTCCGGGTAGGGAGAGGTAGTAGCTTGCGGTGGCTGTCGGGAGCGGGAGGCGGGGGGCGGGGAGGAGGTTCCTGGACTTGGGGCGCCAAAACCCTGCAGCCCAGCACAACAGGAACCGGGGCTGGAGGACGCTGGGACCGAGATGGGTGGGCTGCTCGGCAGGGCCTCCCCGTGAGAAAGACCTGCTTGGTGTCTCAGTCACTACCCTGGCGGGGTAGGAGCTCTTTTCAACATTTTATGGCTGTGGCAGGGGAGAGGAGGGAGTGACTAGGCTGTGAGAGAGTAACAAAGAAAGGGGTCTGGTGCCAGGAGAACCTACGGATAGATGGAGAAATCTCAGAGTCCAGGGGAAGAAAGTGACCAAAATAGTGATAGAAGTACACAGACAAAGAGGATAGCCCTGGCCAAAGGAAACCAGAGTCTCCCGGATGAGACAGGACGTCCACAGGAGACAGCGGGACCTTTGGAGCCCAGATTTGAGGCCAAAGGAAACCCCAGGACCTTGATAGGCCGTACTCTTGAGACGAGAGTCTAGGTCTTCGACGGAGAGGGTCAAGCAGATCCCAGGGACACAATCCAGCGGAGGTGTTTCGGTGCGCATGCAGAAGGTCAGGGTTTTGGACATGCTCGCACAGGGTCTGGATGGAATATGCTGCCCACCGTGGCTGGAGAGAGCTCCGCGCAGCACGTTTGTTCCTCGCGGCGTCGGCTGTCGCCAGGCTGAGACGTAGAGGCTCATCACATGCTAACGCAATGGGGTCACTCGCCAGGGGGATTCCTGTCTCTAGCTCCCAGCTTCTGGCTGAGAGGAGCGGCGGCCAGGCCAAGGCTCTACCTGGAGGCGGAAGAATTATTTCTGCTGCGAGCACGAGTCTAGGAGAGGGTTGAAGACAAACTCTCTCAGCATTACGGTTGCGGATTCAAATCTTTCAGCCCAATTTTTAGTTACAATATATTCTTATTATTAAAGATTTGTTGTTGCTAAGTGCCGTGGAGTCGGTTTGACTCAGTGACTCGGTATAGGGTTTCCGAGGCTTTGAATCTTCGTGGGAGCAGAAAGCCTCATCTTTCTCCCGCGGAGCGGCTGACGGGATCGAACCGTGGAACTTGTGGTTAGTAGTCCAGTGCTTACGGTATGCAGCCACCGTGCTCCCTTATTAAGATAGGGCGCCATAAACTACGCTCCAGTCCAGTCTCTCTGAGGGCGCAAAAGAAAAGAGCGGGTTTTCAGGTTAAATTTAAGTGTTAGATGGTATTTTACCACCTAACACTTAAATAAAGAAGAAACAAAAATCTGGCCTCGTCTGAATTGCTGTGGCTCACTAGCTTCCCACACGCTGCTGCTTCGATCCAGCGGGCAGAACACACTCACCCAATGCGCTTATCCCTGCTTTTTTGTGCCCGAACTCAACGCTGGAGAACAGAAGGCAACGCGAGAGGCGGGTCCAGGTTTCGGGTCTAGCGAATTCGCGATTTATTCGGTTTCAGGGTCCAGACTGGAGGCTCCAGAGAGTACCTTATTTCGGGTCATTCTGGACCTGGATAGGGAGGTGCGCAGCACTCTGTCTGGATGCCGAGTGAGACGCGCTCTGGACTGACTGCCTGTCTGTATGCCAGGAAACTTTCTGGCCAGTTGGACCTAGGCCCTCTCGCTGATTCCACATTCGACCACCGACCCTCCCCAATCCAGGACCCTCGGGACAGGAAAAAGCCAGCTGGTAGCCTCCGAGAGCTGAGGCGCGGGAATTTCAGGGTGACGACGAGCGCGGAAATCTCAGTTGAGTCGGAGGATGGGGCCAGGAATGTTTGTACGTTTTCCGAGAGGAGCCTGCTCCTAGTCTCCGGGACACACGGCCTGCATTCTGAGTTGGCTCATGTTGGGCCAGGTGGCAAGACCCGGTGGAGTCCCAAGCGCCGTCCAAGCTGCGGGTTCCGAGGCTCTGCGCGCCTTTGTTTACAGTGGCCACTTGGGGTCGCACTTTATGTCTGTTTGAACCTCTCCACTGCAGCCTGACGCCCGGATCTGCTTAATCGTTACAAAACGTTCAAACAAAAACAAGGCCAGTTTTCGGGTAGCGGAGAGAGCTACTCGGAGTCTCGTCCTGGGTTGGCCTCAGCCCCAAGTCTCGGAGCGCACAGAGTTCCGGGTGTTTGGTAGGAGAAAAGATTTAGAGCCTTTGGCCAATTCTCTAGCGCTCCCTTCTTGTGCATTTGGGCGTGGGGTGAGCGCGGGGTGCGGCTGGGACATCGGAGTCGCATTTCAGGGTTCAAACACCGCGGTCTCCCGGTGGGGACTCCACTTGGCCTGAGAAGGGTCCCTTCATGCCAAGAGTTGAATCTGAACACAACTCTTGTAGCCCTAACCCTGCCCCACCCGCAAATATTCGCAGACCTGCAGAAACACTGGCACACGTAGCACACACACGACCCGCGGCAGCGCGGATACACGGAGAGTTGCCCATGGGGCAAGGGACGCTTGGGAACAAAGGGCCCGGGAGGAGTCGTCCTAAAGCTCATTCTGAGCCTTCTTGTGGGCGACAGGGACTTGGGAGAGCCTAAAGGATATGGGGGAGGAGAGCGCGCGAGGGGGTGGAAGCAGCGGCCCAGTCTGGGGGTGGGGCGCACGGGAGGCGAGCGACGGGACCAGAGCCAGGAGGCCGAAGGGGCAGGGCCCGGGCAGGCAATCCCACTTGGCTCCAGCCCTGGGCATGGTCTCAGCTGCTTCGGGCAGCTTGGTCCTCGAGTCAGCTGACGCGGGGGGCGGAGGAGCTGTCAGGCGCGCCCCGCCCTGCGCCGCCGGGCCGTGGGGGCCGCGCAGCCATTGGACAGCGCGCCGGGCTGCCCGGGCCCCCGCGCCCCAGTGACATCAGGAAGGCGATAAAAGGCGGCTGCGAAGCCGGATTCAGCACAGCTGCACTGCCAGGCTGCGAGCGGCTGCGAACGAGAGAGCTCCAGAGCAGGAGAGCTAGAGAGCCAGTGGCGGGCGCTCGCCCCGCGCCTCCCCTCACCCTACTGCGCGCCCTGCTCGCCTCTCTACCCCGGCTGGCTCGGTCCGGCCAGGTCCCGGCGCAGTCACAGCCCCCAGCTCTGGGGCCGCGCGGGCAGCCTCGGGACTGTACGACGCGCCGCCGCGTCCCCAGACAAAGGCTTGGCCGGCGGCCCCGGCCCGCTGCGTCCTCGGCTCCCTGCCTCCCCCTCTCGCCGCTCTTCGTCCCAGAGCTTGGCTCGGCGCGCCCCGGCCGGCCGCAAAGTTTCCCGGGCGGCGGCGGGTGCGCCCCGCGTCAGCGATGGCCGCGGAGCTGAGTATGGGGCCCGAGTTGCCCACCAGCCCGCTGGCCATGGAGTACGTCAACGACTTCGATCTGCTCAAGTTCGACGTGAAGAAGGAGCCGCTGGGTCGCGCCGAGCGCCCGGGCCGGCTCTGTACGCGCTTGCAGCCGGCTGGCTCGGTGTCTTCCACGCCGCTCAGCACGCCGTGTAGCTCTGTGCCCTCGTCGCCCAGCTTCAGCCCGACTGAGCAGAAGACTCACCTGGAGGACCTGTACTGGATGGCGAGTAACTACCAGCAGATGAACCCCGAAGCGCTCAACCTGACGCCCGAGGACGCGGTGGAGGCGCTCATCGGCTCACACCCGGTGCCACAGCCGCTGCAAAGCTTCGACGGCTTCCGCGGCGCGCACCACCATCACCACCACCACCACCCACACTCACATCACGCATACCCGCCCGCCGGCGTGGCCCACGACGAACTGGGCCCACACGTGCACCCGCACCATCACCACCATCACCAAGCGTCGCCGCCGCCGTCTAGCGCGGCCAGCCCCACGCAGCAGCTTCCCACCAGCCACCCCGGGCCGGGGCCGCACGCGGCGGCCGCGGCTACGGGGGCCGGCGGCAGCGGCAGCGTGGAGGACCGCTTCTCCGACGACCAGCTCGTGTCCATGTCTGTGCGCGAGCTGAACCGCCACCTGCGGGGCTTCACCAAGGACGAGGTGATCCGCCTGAAGCAGAAGCGGCGGACCCTGAAGAACCGGGGCTACGCCCAGTCGTGCAGGTATAAACGCGTCCAGCAGAAACACCACCTGGAGAATGAGAAGACGCAGCTCATTCAGCAGGTGGAGCAACTTAAGCAGGAGGTGTCCCGGCTGGCCCGCGAGAGAGACGCCTACAAGGTCAAGTGCGAGAAACTCGCCAACTCCGGCTTCAGGGAGGCGGGCTCCACCAGCGACAGCCCCTCCTCTCCAGAGTTCTTTCTGTGAGTCGTGGCCGGTCTCGGCCCCCGCCCTTGCCCCGCCCTGGACTCCCAGTCCCTTGTCCCCAGCCCCGGACCCTCCTGGACCCTGTCCCTGCCACGGCCCCAGTCTTGACCTATTTGACTTGGAGAGGGAGCAAGGGCGCGCGGGCCGCGGGCAAAGGGCGGGCGCGGGCGGGTAGGGGGACCTCGGCCAAGGCTAGAGCAACGCGCGTCAGCGCCGCCTCCTAGACTCGAGTAGAGACAGACCAGGGGGTGGGAGGTCCCGGAGCAACTTTTTTCCAGGCTGGAGGACAGCGGATCATAGTTCTAAGGAGTCTGGAAGGCCTGGTTTTCTGAACTTTGCGCGTTAGCCGGGGTCGCTTCCTCCCTGCTTTGAGCGCAGTTCGCCCCAGGAAGAGAGCAGCGACGAGAGGAAAGGAGGGGGACTTTGACTTACCCTCAGGCGCAAGACAAGGCTGAGCAGAGGACAGAAGGACGGATGGACCTGTCTGTCCATGGTCCAGAGAACACTGGCTCCAGTCTGGGGCCACGAGCCTCAGTTAGGACGTTCGCGCGAAAATCTCATCAGTTTTATTGCCTGCTCGATTATATAGAAAAAAAAAAACACACACGAAAATCTGCATTAAAAATATTAATCCTGCATGCTGGACATGTATGGTAATAATTTCTATTTTGTACCATTTTCTTGTTTAACTTTAGCATGTTGTTGATCATGGATCATAACCCCCTTGGTTTTTTGTTTTGTTTTGTTTTTGGGGTGGAAGGGATCGCACGTAGTTCGGAAACTCCAGCTGCGTGCGCTGTTCGGGTTTCAGTCCCGGCTGTTGGCTTGTAAATACCGCCCCGCCAAATCGCTTAGAGAACGTGGCCGCAAGCGGAGTGTCTTTGTTTGGGTTTATTATTATGATTTTTTTATGTAAGTAAATAAACAAAAGTTCCGGGCACTTTGCATCAGAATCAGAAAACAACTTTGTCTTGGGGCACCCTTGGAAGTTGCATGTTCTCTCCTTCTTCCCTACCTCCATTCAGTCCTCTCCTCCCTCCCACTTTAGTTTTCAGTTTTGTTGAGTGTTTTGAGAAAGAGACGATTGGAGGCCCAGCTCTGGAGTACTAGGGTAGGGCAGCTTTCCGAACCGCAGAGACGAGGAGGAGGTACCTTTGCTCTACCGTCTCCTAGTCCTCAGGCCAAATTGATTCCCAACCAGAAAAGAAAATAGTTTTTGTTTGCTTTTCATTGTAACCAGATTCACCCCAGGGTCCCTTTGCAACCTCCCAGGTCTACACTAATTGCAGCCATGGCAACACTCCTAAGGGGAGCCCGTGGTGACCCCAGCTTATTTTGAATCAACTCCCACGCTCTGAATGTACCCCAAACCCAAACCTTGGCAAGTAATTTTGCAACTTTCAAGTGCGTTCTTTAGATCAACAGTTATGTGTGTTTCTTTGCCTGCTATTAAAACGGCTGGCAAGTTATTGGTGGTGTTCCTCTCCCCCTTCTGTTGTATAATACTTATAAGGAAGATCTGGGTGGCTTTTATTATTATTATTATTGCTTTTTTTTTCTTTCTGCAGGTCAGTAAAAGGATTTAAGTTGCACTGACAAAAATACCAAAATGAAAGCGTATTTTAAGTCCCCATTTTGAATTGCTGGCGCTGCTGGCCGGATGCATTTTTGAGTTTGTATTAGTTGATAAATTAACAGTAATAACAAGATTGTATGAACCGCATGGTGCTTGCAGTTTTAAATATTGTGGATATTCGTCCTGCATCAGAAACGAGCTTTGGTTTTTACGGATTCAACTGTGTTGAAATCAAACTTGCCGCAATGGAAATTGTTTTTATTTCATGTAAAATAAGGGATCAATTTCAAACCCTGCTTATGATATGAAAATATTAAAACCTAGTCTATTGTAGTTTTATTCAGACTGGTTTCTGTTTTTTGGTTATTAAAATGGTTTCCTATTTTGCTTATTAAACCCATGGAAATGGTGTTTATTTAGAGGACTCCGCGTTCGTATGACCTGGACTTTCTTCTTTTGCCCCTTCAACAGTTGCACCAGCTTTAGGCCATTCTCACACCCTTGGTCCACAGAAAAAACAAAACAAGTCTGGGCAGATCTCTCCCTTGAATGTCCAAATGAGGGTGGATGTGTGTCCTAAACCTATTCTGTGTTTCCCACCTTAGGTACAGACAGACCCAGGTCAGGAGCTGGTGTGTGAGCCAAGAGGGTAAAGATCCAAAAGGCCTTGGAGTCCCTAGGCATCGGGCAGATGTCAACTTTGTGGGGCTTTCAGGTTCTGCTATATCAGGACCAGCAGGTTAACCTACTGGCTCCTGGCTCAGAGGTTGAGCTCCAGGCTGGTTGAGCCTGGGTAGCAGGGAGCTTCCGCCCTGAAGGGAATCTGGTGCTGGGTCCCAATGGCCCATTGTCCTCCCACCTGGGCTACAAGGTCCTTGACTTTCTCTAACACATCTATCCTAGCGCAACCGGAGCTGTCCCTGGATGCAGGCAGAACCTAATGCCAGGTTTTGGGTTCAGGAAGGCTGCAGACAGGAAGACAAGCTTTTCTGTGAGGACCTGCTTTCTGGGGTGGTGGACTTAGAGTGGACCCATGGCTCAGGCTGAGAGCCCCCTGTCCTGCAGTAGAGCACCACATGCCTGGACCTGGGTTTCAGTGATTCCTGAGTGGAGCTGAGGAGGGAGTTTGAGGCATCCTTCTCACAATGAGTAGCATTATATACAGCCTGGAAGATGGTCCTCAGAACCCTTTCTTTCCCAGGCTCTTCAGGGGTGCTAGAAGAAGGAGTGCAGGCCTAGGTTGTCCAAAATCCCTTCTGGCCTCCTTGGAACCTTGGTCTATAACTCAGGGCCCCAGCCATCTTCAAAAGCTGGACTCCCGATATCCCAGAAAACGCTTCTTTGCTCTTTTGCAACAACAGTCTCAAAGGGTCCTCCAGTCAAGGTCCCCTTAGGCCCCATATTGCTGATTGGGAAGGCACTGCCCGTTTTCTGGCTAGGATCTCCTAGCGAACTTACAGGATTCCACTGTACTTACCTTGGGAAGCAGGAGAAGCAAAGAGCTGAGTTCCAGTTTTCAGGTACCAGACCTGATAGGGCCTGGGAGAAGGAAGCCAGCCATGAAGTTAGCAGACACTTGGGGGTGAGAATCTGGGTTGGCAGAACAGGGGAAAACACCCCTAAAATCAAGGCTGTAGATAATGTTGGCAGGAACTTCAATTTGTATAGAGAAGATCCAAGTTAATTCCAAGACCCGGTTCATTTCACCAACACAAAGTGGTGTCTAATGGGGAAGGCCATTCACTACAGCAGGAGTCTGACTGTCCAATAAGCTGCCCTTGTGTGCACAGGATGGAGGACTAAGCAATGTGATTAGCTGGGTCATTTTGTGTGCCAGTACTCTGAAAAGAACTCGATAGGACAGTGTCCACTCGTGCAAGTGTATTCCCTTTGGGGTGAAAGAGGCCTCTAGGAGGTATGTCTGTTGCTTAAGAAACTTCTCATCAGTGGCAGAGGGGGATCATGACCCTTGTGAGTGGAGGCTGTAGACTTGGTGGCCTGACTCTCTGTGGAATCATCCCCAGCAGACTGGCATCCTCAGTCTCACTGTCACAGCGACTCTGCGTGAAAAGCCTCCAAGATGAGCGCTGTAACACAGACATCGACCCAGTGACCAACAGAAACAACTAGGTACCCCGAACGACATGGTGCAAGAAGGTTCACAGAGAAGCTGACGGCCCCATGGCACAGAGACATACTGGCACACACAGACACTCATGTCCTGATCCACACTGATAACCCACTCAGGCACTACCCGGCCCTGCAATAGCCTTCCAACTGGGCACCCACGGCGAGAGTCAGCAGAGCCTGGAGGAAACCGGGCCTCCGGAGCCGCCAAGGCTGCGCACTCAGCATGCAGTCCCAGCTACGTCTCCATTCTCGGTCTGCTGTCGCCAGTCAACGTGATGGCCTGGACCCGGCGCCCACAAGCCTCAAAACAACTAGCTGGGCGCCGAGGCTCCCCGGCTGGCCCCACTCCGGTGGCGCACCGCAGCCCTTAGACCCTCTCGTTCCACACCCGCTGTCCTAACTTGCGGGCTCTTCGAGGGTTTCTTCGCCCTGGGGTGAATTTTTCTCTGCTCCAGGAGCCTTCTAGCTCCGCACCGGTCCTACACAGACAGGCCGGCGCCTGCTCCCCGCAACGCGCGCCGAGACACGCGAGCACAGACACAGGGACGCACCGAAGGGCAGCGCAGGTCCCAAGCCCTTGGCTCCGCTCAGCCGGCCGCCCTGGTTTGCTTGGTGAGAAGCACGCCTTCAGCGATCCCCGATTTTTTCGGGTGTGCGGTGGTGCGGGTTAGACCCGATGCCGCCACCTTCTGAGGACCCGGTCGAGAGGGCAGGGCGCCGCTTTCCCAGAGCCCAGCGTCCTTCCCCGCGCTGGAGGGCTGGAGGCATCAGTCCCATTTTCTTCCCTCCTCGCGTCTTCACACTCTCTTTGCCATTTCCCATTCCAACAAATCTCCCTTTGAGACCTCTTTCAGTTGTTAAAACTTTCTTGCCCCGTTTTCCCTACGGCCTCCCCGCCCCCATCCCCCGCTGCGTTGTCTGGCTGGGGATGGGCTGTGGGAGCCGGTGCTCAGGGAGTCGATGTGGATGGGGGAAGGAGATGGAGAGGAACGAAGGTGGAGGGTCTGGCGTCGCCAGAGCCACAGAGCAGCGCCGGTGCCCGATCCACCAACGCTGGGCTATCGCCTTGACCTCTCCAGTCTTTCCTTCAGTCTCTGGACCCCGGGCGGGCGGCAGGGCTGGCGGGAATCCATACGGAGCAAGGTCCTTGCCAGGACGAGAAGGCAAACCTAGGCTTTCGTGATACGCAGGCCTCTTACCTTCACAGCCAGATTTCCCTTGGTCTGGGGTCTCTGGGCTGTTCTGTGGTAGGACAACTACTACCCACCAAGCAACTTGAGCCTGTTCATGCTACTGGACCACGCTCTCATGGGAGCTGGTTTTAGCCATGCAAGCACACTAGGGTTTTTTGTTTTTGTTTTTGTAATCTGGAGCTACAGCTTCTGCACCCGCTGCCAGACTAGGCAAGGACCCCTTCACCAACCAACCAACCAACCAACCAACCAACCAACCAACCAACATCCCAGTTTTCCTCTTTCCCAGTTTCTTGGGAACAGCTAGGTTTGGGGGTTCTAGTTATACCCTCACAGGCTGTCAGAAGTAAAACCCGCATTCTGGGCCATTTCTGTTTTCAGGAAGAAAGACACTGAACTGGCTTCTTGCATAACCCTTCCCTCAGCAGCCTGCAGTCTGATGCCCTGGCCTCTCATTCCACAGACAGTGGTGTTTGGATTTGTTATGTAAGAGAGGGGAGGATTAGACATTTGTTCAGCCCCCCCTCCCCCCACCAAAATAAAAGTCCTAAAATGGTGCATCTTTTCCAGCTGCATAAACAAACTCCCAACCCCATGTTCATAATTGACGCTATAGGACCGTGTAGTACTGCCCCATAGGGTTCCCGAGGCTGCGAGTTTTATGGAAGCAGACTGCCACATAGTTCTCTGAGGAACAGAGCTAGTGAGTTTGAATCATCGACCTTTCAGATTAGCAGCCAGAGCTCTCAGCCTCTGTGCCACTAGGTTTCCTTCCTCCAGCTGTCGTCCTCCTAAAAGAAGTCAGCCCAAGTGTAAAGTTGTTCCCGCATTGGCATCTAGCTTGGTTCTCTGTTAGGGACTTGGTGGGTGAGAGTTCTGTGTCCAGGATGTACCTGCTCTGTGGCAGTCACCACTGGGACTTCCCAGGCTGGGGCGTTCCTGGCCTTTGTAGAATGCAGTGGCTGCTGTCTGGAAATGTCCAGACCAAGGAGAATATTCCTTTTAGTTTGGTCGCACAC